AGATACTCATTATGTGTTACCAGCGTCACGGGACTTCCGCTGTCGTAACAGTATTGTGGTATATTCAGGTAAAGTAAATTAACCTTCTATCTGTCATATACGTTCTCTTATATACTGGAGATTAGAGTAAGATATCAAGTACAACGCAATGCTATGTTTCTTCTCAAATGAGAGGTGATGTAAAATGGAATAATTAGAATGTATACAAAGTGAAATGCAAAATCAACAATCTTTATTATCACACTATACACACACATAGCCTGTATGTACTTGTTTCTCCTGACACAGGACTGTTGCTTTCTTACTGGATTCTTATTGCTGCTGCTTCTTCAAGATCCTATTCCAGACTGTCTAAGTCCAATATGTTCCTTTGTTCGCAAGAAATGCTACATTTACTCAGAATGACTAATGCTAGTCGCGTTACTGCATGATCATTCTCTTCATGACATAGGTGAGGCCTCAGCCTCTAGATATCACTTGAACAAACAGTGAAGGACAATGCTATCGACTGACTTGCACAACGTGCTGTATTGCAGCAGTATTGCTCCTTCCCTGAACAGGACAAGTATTGAATAGAGTTATTTAAACATTTGTTTAACAACAAGTAAAAGCTTGGAATGGTCTATTCTTTCATTGTGGTGTATCTGTGGGCCAGACTAATTTCGGAGATTTCCACTTCTCATCAGTGACCCTGGATACCTCACTACGATAAAGGCTTGGTTTAGTCTGAAGTTTCATTCGGTGGTAGTGTTTAAACAACTCTATTCAATTATGTACCAGCTGCCTAGTGTCGGCTAAAAATACGAAGAATTAAATTGTGGTGGAATGCTACAAGTTCTTCAAATATCTATAAAATGATATGTTTCTTTTTTTGTGTGTGTAAAAACATTTAAAAATACACCATTTCGCGGAAAGGTATTATTTACAAGAGAACAACAAAGAATAAAATCAGCTATTACGAAATGAACTTAACGGCTTTCTTGACCATGTGTTATATGAAAGCCAAACAATTAAAAAACAAAGAATAAATTAAAAATAAATACCACGATATTATGAGAAGATGTAAATGCATGATATACTCATATAACATAGAAAATATTTTATTTCTCATCATTCAACCCAACTAACGAATTATGGTATTGTTACGTCTCCGTTTGTTAATTAACTTTCCGTAACTTCGATCCGACGAAACTTTAGCGACACAAGTTCTTTGCTTAATAAAACTGGTTTGTTCTTTCCGAATACAACTTTACCAT